AAGGGTGGAGGCATGGCTCAAGTGGTAGTGCACCCAGCCATGAATGAGCAAGAAATCTGAGGGAAGGTATGAAGCCCTAAGTTCAAATGCTTGCCTTATTACTCTGAAATACGGGATTCTAACACTATCTTTGAAAAAGAGGGGAGAGAGTGGACACCCTCCTCTTTCCTGCCTTTATAGAAAATGATTTCAATTTTTCTTCATTTGGTATGACCTGCTACATGTTTTCATGTACAGTCATCATTACTCCTTGTTATGTATTTTCTATTCCCTGTTTCTTCAGAGCAATTATCATGGAGGGAAGTTGAATTTTATTGAAGAATGTTTCTGCATCTACTTAGGTGACTGTGTGTTGTTTGTCTACTCTCTCCATCCTTTTTCAAAACAGTGCTTGAATTCTTTATTCTAAAGCAATAAGGCAAGAGAACATATACAAATAGAGAAGAAATCAACTTATCTGTATTTACAGATGATATGATCCAAACTTAAAAGATCCTGAAGACTACACCAAAAATAGAGAAACATTAGATCCAATAAGCATGTTCAACAAAGTACCAGGTCTGGGAATGTGGCTTAATGGTAGAATGCTTGCCTAGCATGCATGAAGTCCTGGGTTTGATTCCTCAGCACTACATAAACAGAAAAGGTCAGAAGTGGCGCTGTGGCTCAGGGACAGTGCTCAGGCCCTGAGTTCAACCCAGGACCAATGGTTGGGTGCTATCACACATGCCAGCCATCCCAAAGTACAAAGGATGACTGGGAGGTTGGCTCAGTGGTAGAGTGCTTGCCTTGCATGCATGAGGCCCTGGGTTCGATTCCTCAGAACCACATAAGTAGAGAAAGCCAGAGGTGGTACTATGGCTCAAGAGGTAAAATGCTAGCTTTAAGCTAAAGAGCTGAGAGACAGTGCCCGGGCCCAGAGTTCAAGCCCCACGACTGGCAAAAAAAAAACAAGATCCAAAGTACAAAGGATGCACCAGAGGCTGGGTGAATGGTTCACACCTGTCATCACCCAGGGACACAGGGAAGCACAAATAGAAGGATTCTAGTCAAGGATGGCCTGAGCCTTTAGCTCAAAAACTAACCAACCCAAAACAAGGCTTAGAAGGTATAGTATCTGCCTAGCAAGTGCAAGGCCTTGAGTTAAAATCACAGTAGTGAAAAGAAAAAAAATCCTCAAATATATAACAGGTACTCAAATTTGGAGGACTGATGAGCTAGTAAAAGTGAGTTAGGAAAATCTTCAGAATAATTATGATAACACCTGTACAAGTTCTTGTAAATAACCAGTTGTTTCTATAAGTCTTTAGTGTTCAGAAAGTGATGGACACAGGTGCTCTGGCTTCATTTCCCATGGATTTACTGCCCACCTTGAGGGCATGCTTCTTCCTAGGATCTGTCACTCACATGTGCAATTTGGCTACTTTTTGTGTATTTAGATCTGATCAGTAAAGAGTTCTGCAGCAGGATAAGAGACAGAGGCAGGCAGGATTAATAAACAAGCATTGTCACGAAAGATCTGCTTAGTCTCTTCATTTTAATTAAATGATGCAAATAACCATGCTGGGAAATGAAATGATTCCAGCTTTATAAAGTAAGTGAATAGTTTTTTTAATTGCCTTTTTAAAATATCTTCTATGAGGTATGTAACTATTTTTAGGCACCAGAATTTATAAGGAAATGAACTCTTCTTTATTTGAAATTCTAATTCAGTGTATTTGAAAGTTTATGAATATGCAAAGCTATGATATATTTACTCAGTCAAGTCCTGCAACAAGATGAATTATTACATTGTGCATAAGAATTCATTATTATATGATGCATTATGCACAATGTAATAATTCATTAGGCAAGCAGCACAGTGTTGAACTCTTAGCAGTCCTTCACCAAACTCCTTCATTTCTTCTTTTTCTGTGCTTAATCGTAATTGCCATTCAGTGCAAAAGGTACTCTGAGCAAAAACTAAACTATAACATTCCCACACTGAAATTTCATGCACCAACTTTTCAAAATAAAACACACGAAAGTTTATTAGCCAATTTTTATAAAATACTTATTGCACAATACCATTTTAGCCTGATCAGAGATAATTTTAGGTGTATTCTTCAATATCTAACTTGATACATATTTACTTCTGGGCTTCAAATTTTAGTTGGAATAAAAAAATATTATTTTTGTATGACTAGCCTATTATATATCTGGTCCTCATTTTGCATGTATACTTTTATACAACATAAAATAAACTTTTTACTAAAACAGGAAACCATTAGAAACTTTAAGAATTGCAATGTGATTTTAGTTCTTAATCACACAGTGAAAATGATCAATATCAGTATAACTTGCAGTGATGTTTATTAAGGACTGTAAACTTTGAACTTTAAGAACATATATACATTCATTAAATTATATTAGGTTCTCACTATATTTCCTCCTATACATAACATTTTGTATATGCCTTCATTATTTGTATCAAGTACTAACCACTTCCCCAAATATCAGGCACATCCATACTCAAATATTAGGTACATAAATGCACTCATATATAAAGATAAAATATATATTTATGTAAAACATTTCATACTCAGAGATATTATGAATTAATCACTTGGCTGTAGACTTTGCTTGATTTTTTCTTAAAAAGTTAACCTGGAAGACAATTAGAAAATATTTGTTATAAGTATTGTGAATACCTGTAAAATTGTCAGGTTAAGATAAAGATGCTTAACAAGATCCTTTTATGCCTTCTTTTGAGAAATTTTTACACCAAAAAGGAACCCAAGACTTGTGAACACATTAGCCATTAGAAAAGCTCTAAGGAGAATGATACAAGGGGTGACAATGAATCAAGAAACACTGTATTCATAATTTGACATATTGAATTGAAACCTCTTCCCACAGCTATTTAAAGATAATTTTAAAATGTTCAGTCACCTAGAAATTAGACTATTGAAATAAATTTGTGTGTGTACTGATCTTAGGGGTGACTTCAGGGCTTGGTTTCTGTTCCTGAGCAATTTTTGCTCAAGGAGAGCAGCCTATCATTTAAGCCAAAGCTCCACTTCTGGCTTTTTGGTGGTTAAGAGTCTTGTGATTTTCCTGCTCAGGCTGGCTTTGAATTGTGATTCTCAGATCCTCAGTAGCTAGGGTTACAGGTATGAGCCACTGAAGCCCAGGTTATCGTATCTTTTCTTTTTTTAAATGCTCTAGTTGAGCTTGGACAAGTAGCCATCCATAGAAGGTTGCTAAAATGCCTGGGTGCCACTCAGTTCACTTCTCTCTTTCAGGCATGTGATATACTCACCTTTAACACGGTGACACATAATGAGAAGTCTGGGACAACCTTAAGATCTTACATGTTACTTTCTACAAGTACACGGTTCAAATTATGAATCTCTCAGGGTGAGCAGGGAGAGAAAAAAAAAGAAAACAGAAAAATTTAAATGCATATAGTTACTTGTTTCTGGGGTATGAGATACTATTAACATCCTTAATATTAGTATTATTGTCATAAGAGCACTCCTTACCCTATAATCCTTTCCACCCTACTAGCATAGTACTAGGTTTATGTTTGTGTGTAGGAACTCAGACAATGGTGGTTAAGGAACTTGGCCCAAATAACAAAGTTACCAGACATGCTTTTAACAAAAGTGGGAATGGGCCGTCTCTTCCACTATGAGAAAAAAACCATAGAACAGACTGAAAACGAGTCTTGGGGGATTTGGTGGAGGGTCCAGGAATACAGAAGGCCAATGACCCATGCTTAAGCTGTTTGTTCCCACAGGTCATGGAGGGGCATGGACATAGAAATCAGCACTGCCCACTAAGCCTCTTGCAGGAAAGGTCCTTCATCCCATGAACAGCACAGGTGTGAATGGAAGAGTGTCACCACAGATGTAAGGCAAATTACATCATTATGTTTAGAACTGGCTTAGAATATTAAGATATCCATGCCATTGTATGGACCACATACAACACTTTTGTCATACATATAGGTCAAACTTACCACTTTAAATAAGCTTTATACTTTTTATTTTCCCTTTTATATTTATATCTATTTTATCTCTTTTTGTTATTTTTAGGTGGTGATTCAAAGGAGTTTTTTTGTTTTTGTTTTTGTTTTGTCGGTCATGGGACCTGAACTCTGGGCCTGGACGCTGTCCCTCAGTTCTTCAGCTCAAGGCTAGCGCTCTACCACTTGAGCCACAGCACCACTTCTGGATTTTTCTGCTTATGTGGTGCTGAAGAATCAAATCCAGGGCCTCATGTTTGCAAGGCAAGCATTCTACCACTGAGCTACCTTCCCAGCCCCTTAAAGGACTTTTAATTCAAACATGTCAGTTTACGAGTAGTGTAGTGTATATAATGTATCAAATTCCACCAATAAATTGTTCTTGTACTGTGACATCTACATCATTGATTTATGGTTCTTACTATATAATTTTATCTCGGTCTTATGGTTGTACTTTGACTTCATTATACCAAATAACACTCAAGTTTGTAGTTCAATATCAGCACAACAATTCAGCCTTAAAGTGAATCAGGTATCTGTAACACTAAATTGCTTTTCATGTCTAAAGCAGTCTGAATTCAAAGCAAAGCCTACACATGGAAAAAAAATATATGGTTCCAATGTGAAGTAAACCCTAAATCTACACCTTTCAGATGTGTGTGTGTGTGTGTGTGTGTGTGTGTGTGTGCACATGTGTGTCAGTACTGGGGTTTGAACTCAGGGCCTAAACACTGTCCCTGAGCATTTTGCTCAAAGGCTGATGCTCTTCCACTTGAGCCATAGCTCTCCTTCTACATTTTGGTAATTAACTGGAGATAAATCTCATAGACTTTCCTGCCTGGGCTTCCTTCAAATCGTGATCCTCCGCTGCTGTGAGCCTCCTGAGTTGCTAGGATTACAGTGTGACCCCCTAAACCCCAGCTCAGCCTCCAGATTTTTAAACAAGTATAATCTAACATTTACTCATTCACTTTATGGGATCTATCTTAAAACCAATTTTAATCAGTTCATCCTATGCTCATATTTACATAAGTCATGTATAAAATCTTACTTTTTAGCTAACGTGGAAATAAAACCATGCTCCCATTTTTTAAAAAGACTTAAACAATGTTGTAGAAAAAATTCAGTAATGTAACTCATTAAAATCAATTAATTAAGATGCAACTTCTAACATGTTCTAGCAGCCCATGGAGGCCAATTGGTAAAAATACAACTTTACTGAAATCTAGCACCATTTGTCTATATAAAAACAGATAAACAGAGAAGCTAGCTTAAAAAAATATTTTTTCTCTTCCATCTATTTTTCATTCTTTATATAATGCAAATATTCATGTCTCAGTAAAAAGATTACAAATGTGCATATAGGCATAGCAAAGAGGTCTTCTAATCTTGAAAGTTTTCCTCTTATTATGGAGATATTTCAAAGGAAGAGAAAGGCCTGAGTTTGGTTAGATAATTGAAGTAAATATATGAGAATGTCACTAGCACATTTTTACAAAGTCCTAAAATAGGTGTGATTGTCCCCAGGACGATGATTAAACTAAGCCTAACAAACACAAAGGGCAAATCCTGCAGGAGTATGCCTGAAGTGCTCAGAAGGGGGTTCTGGGGCGTGAATATTATTCGAAGGAGAGAAATAAAACTGAATATGTAGACTGGGTACAGCCAGCCTGACTTGTACACGGCAGGGTGACCAGCCACGCGCACCATTTCTATAGTGTCAGACCACAGCAGAAAGCTCCACAGGAATATATCTGCACGGACATCTCTCCGTGACATCGTCCTCAGAACTCCAGAGTGAAAGTAGGGCTCCCGGGGTCCTGTTAGTACATGAGCCCGCCTCTGTGGCTGCACCTCAGGGGTGGTCTTGGCTGCCTGGGAAGGTGCTAGGTTCTCTTCATTTTGCCTCACTTGATCCGTCACAGTCTTTATCTGTTGCAAAGAACTCGTATGGATGTATGCATCTTCGGAACCTGCAATAAATCGATTTATTCGTGTTTTAATGTGTAAAATGCAATATTCCTTCATTTAAATGTTATTAAGCCAGATGCAGTACCATACACCTGTAATGGCAGCACTCAAACAACTGAGGCAGGAAGAGTGTGAGTTTGAGACAAGCATGGGCTGCACAGTGAGACCCTGTATTAAAAACAAAGAAACTAGATAGACAGATACATAGATAGATGACAGAGAATAGATGGTAGGTAGGCACACACATACATACATACTGTTACAACATAAAATCCAAACTTGAAATCAAAATAAAACTGTACCTGTTTTCTATTGGAGGCACATGGAAAAATAACCAAACACTGAAAAAAAATGCAGAAGTGGAGGAGGTCCTTCCTTTTCCTTTCAGAAATTCTATTTGTGTGCACCATGCTTCTTGATCATTACCCTCTCTGTACCATACTCCTCCTTCTCAGGGCAGCCTTGCTAAAGTTGCTGTGTGTGGAGAAGGTTCTCAGTACCTAGGTATTTCATAGATATGGATCCTGAGTCATGTTTACCATTTCATCATAAAAGCCACTACGGGGTACTGAGCTAAGCACTACTTCAGGCATTATTTTGTTTATCCTCCAGACATATCAAGCAACCTGAGGCCCATGGAATTAATGATGCTTGGATTGAATACAGAGTTAGGAATGGATAGAGGGGGAACTCACACCTAGATCTGGTTGACTCCAGCTGACAAACCCTTGATTTTATAGCTGCTATTACCTAAAGGCAAGAAGATATCATGAGCTAATTATAAAGCATAGGAGTATCATAAAATTAAATGAGTCTAACAGTTCACTAGTCCAACATCATCATTTTTGTCATGGGGATCACCACACACCACTTCTCTGGGTGGAGAGTTTGGTGTTGAAGGGCAGGGAGCCTATTTGACCTTTCGAGGTTTCACAGGGAGGAGCAACAGGCTGAATTCAAGATTTGTAAAGCTGATCAGTAGGACCGATTAGTATAAAGCACCTGTACCCAGCCATCAGACTACATTGGCAACACACAAATCATCCGACCATGGGGGGCATTTGATGTAAGGCATTGTTGTGTTTATACAACGTGTGTGTGTGTGTGTGTGTGTGTGTGTGTGTGTGTGTGTGTGTCTTTGAGTATGCTGAGATTGGGGATTATGAAGGGACTCACAAATGCATAGTATTAATATCACTTTTTGTTAGTGGGGCTGGTGGGTTTCTTGCTAGAGATGGACATTGGGGCCTTGCACAGGTCAGGAAAGTGCCACATTGAGCTACAGGGGCATTATTTTTATACATGAAAGTAACAGCTTTCTTTTTCAAACATTTGCCCTCGTACACCATTTCTGTTGCTAAGAATTCATTGACCTTGACTAAGTTTACTCAGCAAACATGCTGAGCCTCCATATTACCTGATAAGACAGAACTTAGAGAGTCATCGGACAGAATAGTTCTAAAGGTCAAAATGGCAGAGTCAATAAAAATGTGTTGAACTATATTGAGCTGAAAGTGAAAATATTTAAAATATATTTTGCTTAATGACTAATCGATCAAATGCTCGGTTATACAATAAGCCTATGTTGTTTTACCTATCATTAGCTATTTTTAAAAAATTAAGCTTAGCCAGGTCCTAGTAGTTCACACCTGTAATCCTAGGTACTTGAAGAGCAGTAATATTGTATCAGAGATTTCAGGACAGTGCAGACAGAAAAATACTTCATGAGACCCCCTTTTCTCAACAAAAAGCTAGATATGGTGGCATTTCTGTTATCTTGGCTATCCAGAAGTATAACATTGGTGGACATTTCCCAGACACTCCCTCAACAGGAAACAAGATTGCATATGAAAATAACCAACAAATGGCAGGGCTGCAGGCATGAAACTGTAAGAGAACCTACTTAGGAGGTGCTGTGCCCTGAGTTCAGTCAAAATAAGTAAATAAATAAATAAACTTGAACTGAGTACCTTTATAAACGAAAAAAGAATTAAGTTCTGACTTAATGAGACATTACTTCTGGTTTGAATCATTCATAAGAAAATACTATGGCTCCTAACCCTTAGAAACATCTTTACTTTAGAAGTCATGGTAATTTGTGTGGGTCTTATTCTAATGCAATAGTCAAAGAAGACAGAAAAATATATACTGACAGTTATTAAAAGGAGGAGGAAGAAATCTCTTTTAAAAGTATGCTATGCTTGAGCTGAATTGCTCAGGGACAGCTCCCAGGTCTAGAGCTCAAGCCCCATGATGACAAGAGAGAGAGAGAGAGAGAGAGAGAGAGAGAGAGAGAGAGAGAGATCTTTCATGCGATTGTTTTTAACATATTTATAAGATTATGTCTTTGTTGCTTTGCATGTCCCTCCCCCATGGTATAACCCCTGCTTTCACTATATATGATGTTGGTATATGTGGAGGGGAAGGGAAAAAAACAAATCATTACAGGAGGACCCATTGCAACAATGAGATGTACAAGTCGTTATGTCGAAAAACTAACTTTACAACTTTGGTGTGGGGGTGGGGGAAGATTGGAGGGGTGGGGGGAGGATGGGAAGGGATGGGAAGGGGAAACAAGGGAGGAGGCTACAATGCTTGATAAGAAATGTACTCATTATCTTGCCCATGTAATTGTAACCCCTCTGTACAGTATGTTCACAATAAAAAAAATAAAAAGTATGCTATGGTCTACAGAACTTTCCCTCTCTTAGTAGAAAAAGCTATGTGAATGAAAATCAAACTCCCTTTGCCAACTATGAGAACACAGCGTATCAGGCAGTTCCTGAAAGATGACTGCAAAATCAGCACAGTTTCAAGGCCAGGAAGTGGCCATCTAAGAAGTGATTCATTGACATTTTCTACACAGTCAGTGAGAGTTATATTATCTGAGCAATGAATTATTATCTCAAGTTTGATGTTTTAAAATTGTTATTCCAAGGTGATGTACAGGGAGATGACAGTTACATACGTTAGGTAATGAGCACATTTCTTTTTGGACAATGTCACCTTTTCCTTCACTTTCTTCCACTTTTTACCTCCCAGCCCCATCCACAAGTTGTATAGTTCATTTTCAGCATAATGTCTAGTATCACTGCTGCATTTGTCTACCCTTTGTCCCACCATTTCTGTGCCCTTTCTTACCCTCCCAAAGACAGACAAACTAACAAACAAGACTAGAGATAAACAAAACAGAAACAACAATAAAGAAAAAAACCTCTTGTTCTCATTTTTTGGAGTTCATTTCAATAAATATCATTCTATATGATCATATGAATATAGTTATTGAGCCTTTATGATCCTCTCCTAAGAATATCCTCCTTTAGTCTCACTGTGTGACTGTCTAGAGACAGTGATTAAGTGATTACATAATTTCCCAAATTTCACAGTATTGTGGGATAGTGATGCTTAGTTAAAGTCACACATTCTAACATTTATTAGTTCTATGAGCTTTGACAATACAGTTATTTTTTCCACAATTTATCATATCCAAGTGTATTTTTTTGTCTTTTACCATCCAGTGTGTTTACTTGTAGATTTATAGGTACAGTCTAGTTACCACAAATGAGAGAGATAATGCAACCTATGTTTCTTTGGGTCTGACTTTGCTTAATATAATTTTTTCCAAGCCTTTCCATTTTCTTATGAATGGGCAATGTCATTCTTTCTGATGGAAGCATAGAACTCCATGATGCATATATACCATATTTTCTTGATCCATTCATCCATTGAGGGGCATTTGAGTTGATTCTATATCTTGACTATAGTAAACGATGCTGCAGTGAACATGGTTGTGCTGGTATAACGTTAGTGTAGCCTTTTTTTGTGGCCTATTGAATAAAGGCCCAGGAGTGGAATTGCTGGGTCATAGGAAAGCTCTATGTTTAGACTTTTGAGGAACCTCCATACTGCTTTCCAAAGAGGTTGAACCAGTTTACATTTCCACCAACACTGTAATAGCTAGCCTTCCGTTTTGGCCCACATCCCCACGAGCATCTTTTTCTTGACAATGGCCATTCTAACTAGGGTTAAGTGGAATCTCAATGTTGTTTTAATTTGCATTTATTTTATGGCCAGAGATTATTTTGATGAGATATGAGTTCTCAATCCATGTGCCTTTGGTTGATTTGGCTGGGAATTTTGTATGTCTCCCCAGTTTAGCAGGATTGGTCATGCTCTGATACAAAAAAAAAATAGCAGCATTCTGTGTCATTCCAAGATCTGTGCTACTGGATGAAATGTCTTTCTTGTTAACTGTGCAAATTAAGTAATTAAGAAAACATTGGGACTAGGCTTGAGTGTCTCACTTTGTAATCCCAGATTCTCAGGATATAGAAGTAGGAGAATCAAAGTCCAAGGATGGCCTGGGCAAAGTCAGAAAGACTCTACCTAAGAATAATGAATTCAAATTGTGTTTAAAAACTGAATATGAAATGAAATATGACATGTTGTACCTAAATTCAAGACTGAGAATTAACATGCAGGTGTTTCCTTGGTGCTTCTTTAAGGATTGCAGATTGTTACCATTTGTGGCTCTTGTCTATAAGTGATTCACTAGTGAGCAAAAAGATTAATAGTCTGCTGTTAATCCTGTTGCTTCACAGTTTGAAAGCTTGTTCTGCAAAAATGGTAGTACTGATTGTGGCTTTACAACACCTCTTCCATAGCACCAATATTCTATAAGTGATTCACTAGTGAGCAAGAAGATTAATAGTCTGCTGTTAATCCTGTTGCTTCACAGTTTGAAAGCTTGTTCTGCAAAAATGGTAGTACTGATTGTGGCTTTACAACACCTCTTCCATAGCCCCAATATTCCATTCCAGTATCCCCTGGGGAGGGGTTACCTCTATTACTCAATTCCCCTGACACCAATTCTCACCTGACAGCAGGAAGCACAGTTCCTCCTGGAATATACGAGAATGCCAGGAGATGACAAACTCCCTTCTCAGTTAGAGAAATAGAAGAACACTTGTTTGGAGAAAATTAACATTTGTATTTATCAGTG